AACCAAAGGTCTGATGGGCATAAACATAATATGGATTTATACTTCTCTATATGAAATGATTTTATTTGAATAATGTTTTGGTGATATTCACCTTGCAATTACATGGAAAAAAGGATCACACTAGACCTATAGGTATAACCCCCATTTAGTGTTTTCAAATATGTATTGCAGGAAATGCTATTTATAATGATAGTAAGGAAAAGGTAAATTGTGAATTGTTTCCCTATGTGCTTAGGTATATGAAGATTAATGGATATGTTTTGGTTATTAGATGATATGTAGTACAAGAGCATGTACTTTGGAATTCTTGAGTTGTGTATTTTGCATTGTAGCTTCTTGTACTTTGGATCTTTGTGGGCTTGAACATGTATTTTGAGAATGAAATATGTGTTATATGAAATGTGAGTTTGGGGATGTTACAAAAACCTTCTGTACAAGTCTTGCTATTGTGCCCGACGATAGTTCAAGTGGCACAATAGCATGGCTGGATCGTCATAAATGCCTGATTTTCAGCTTCTTTCCTCATTTACTCCTCTCATGTAGCTCACTTCTTCTCCATAAATTCTACTAGGGTTTTCCATCAAGGGTAAGACCGAATCTTTTCAAGTATTTAAGGGTTTTTGTGAAGTTTTCAACTTAGGAGAAGGATCCAAGTTCATCACCTCCACTTCTAGGGTTTTATCGTTTTTTCTATGGTTTCTCAAAAAACCTAGCATGTAATTTTAAATGCTTTGTAAAATTAGATACATGCCTAAAAGTGTTATTTAATTATATTACAAGATTTATTTACGTATATTACATGTGCATTTGGTGATTTGAACTTACTCCCATATTTAGTGTTTACACATTCTTCCCTTTGAATTTAGGGAACTTTTGCTTCGAAGAGTTACCTTCAATCATGTTGGCGTGAGGCTCGAAGGTATTTACATCGGACTTATCATTTAATCGATTATCTTCCTCCACTCGTATTTTGAGGACCAATTGTTCAAGTGCCATGTCCTCCGTCAGATGCTTCAAGAAAAGCTTGAAGTTTTTCCATGAGTGGGGCAGCTTATCTATTATCGATCTGTTGATCCTCTCTCTCAGTGATTTGATGATAATCCCTTTTTCCTTTCGATGTATTTTTGTTTTTGTAATTTCAGTTCCAGCGATCATACACTGAGCTTGTTCAGTGATCACTGAAGAACTTGTTTTGTAATTCATTCAGAGACAACGATACTTCAAGAAAACAACACTCACACCAAAGATCCTTCAGCAAACGTCGAAGACTGAAACTGAAGA